TTTCCAGCAACCCAATTGAAAAACCGGACATACCAGAAAAAAAACAGAATGGAAAGGGTACAAGTTGTCTGAATCAGTCTCCTCGATTATTAAACTTCTACCACAAATACTGTTCATCACTTCTATCATTCCAGAAAAAAAAAAAAACCTACCACAACCTGTTATAAATTACTTAGAAGCTGTTTTGTGAACTTTTAAGCCCCCCCTGTCACAAGGGCAGCAACCTCTGAGGAGGCTAGCAGAAAAATAGGAGCAGAAATCTTGTCAGCTGTCTGACTTTAATCCACTGATGCTTTAGAGTTAAAACCCTAACATGTAATTTTCCTTGCAAACAAACATTCAATATATAGTCAGCTCTCCATTATCCCTGGCAGATTATCCAGTTTGCTGATAAACAGTGCCACAATTGCAGACATCCATACTGGCTCTGTGCAGGCTAGCCCAGGTCTGGCAGAGCTTATTAGCTTAAGCTCTGCAAAAATACTTCTGTACAGCTTCCAGAGTCAGCTTTGGGTGCCTCCACACTGTGTTGCTGGAACCAGAGTGCTGGGGAGTGCAATGCAGGCATCCAAATGGGTCCACAGGAAGCCGGCTCACGTCCAGCAAGGCTTCAGATTTTGCCAGCCCTGCATTAACACCAGCTCATACAGGGGTTAAAAACACAGATAGCTTTCTGTAACTCACCCTTTTCCTGCTTGTTCCCATTAATTCATTAGCATAGTTATTGTGAGTTCAGCCTTAGGCCACAAGAAAGCTCCCAGAAGACTTTAGCCTTAGCCAGGGAATGCACTGAGCAACATCTAATTAACCCCAACCAAAAGCAGGTCCTGGGGACTGCGGCAAGGAGGGAGAGCCAGGGCCATGTTGCCAAGTAACTGTAGGAAGAGTCCTGGAGCCAGTTCAGTGCCTTGTTCCCCTGTGTTCTTGTATTTCAAGGAGAGCCCCAGAACTCCCTCTTTAGGAAATTTTAAATACAAACAAATACAGTGTTCATGGTGTCCTTATCCAGTAGAGTAGATGATCAGATTTAATCAGACCCAGTTTACAGGGAGATATGCACTGGAATATGACCAAAGTTAATAAATTACAAAATGCTATGGTATAATTCAGGATGGGAAATATTACAGAAACATGACACACTGCTATTATCAATCCCCGTGCCCTCTCAGGTTTTTCTCTGTTTGCTGAGATACCCCAAAAGCATGCTAATTATTGCACAGATGCGGGATATATTTTTTTTTTCCACTAAATTATATTGACATTATCAGCTCAATTTATTTATTCATCCAAATGTCTCCCAGCTGCAGAGAGATTTGTCTTTTTATTACTCACCTATGCCAGACTAGACTGGTGGCTAAGGGGTGAAAGGTCCCACATTAGATAACTGATCCCTTGAGCCAGCCAGTCCTTCTGACCAAGCACTCTCTAATGCATATTTTGTACCACACATAATAAACACACTTTCCAAGGTGACACAGTCACAATTTTTTAAAAAAAGAAAGTAAATAGAAAGTAGTTGATGTTCTTAACCATAGTAACCTGTTTGTCTAACACAGCAAGTTTAATTTCTGGGGTCACATCTCTCCTTCATTTCTAAAATACAGGAAAGTATGCCAGGTAAATGAAAATGAGAAGAAACATGCAAGCTTCTTTCAATTTATAGGTGCATATACAGATACCCTTATATGTATCTGTATATGCACACAAACATTTACACACAGTCTTGAAGTGGAAATATTAGCATTTTCAGGAAGATTTTTGTTAAGTGATTTATGATAATTGCTTAGTAAAAAATGATTTTACCAAACCTGGTAAAATAAAAACAAAGTTATTTGTTCCAGGGTGGTCCCTCTCAGTCAAAATGCTTTGGTTTACTGAGCAGAAATGTTTCATTTGAATCATACTGATGTCAAGTTGCACCTGCTCATTACCTCGTGGGAGTCCCACTGGAACTGTGATGCAGATGCTACCTAACTCCATAATTTCTCATGGACTTCCTGAGCTGGCTGTGGTGCTATGTGTCTTCCCCTATGGGCAACTCATGTAGGAAACTGAATCTCATGGTTTGCAAGGCTGGTGGTAAATATACTATGGCAAATTAGCCCTTCCTGTAAGGCAGGGTGAAATACAACAAGCAAAGTACAATGCCCATAAAGCTTTCCTTTGGAAACTGAAGAGTTACTATGCATCAAACATTTCAACTTGATTCAGTACACCGAGATGAAGTATTTCAACATGGAATTGCAAAAATAGTTAATTTCAATTAAAGTACTACAGAAAGTATTGTGTTAGGTACAAACTGATTGTTTCAACTTTCTGACTCGCAATAAATTTAGGTATTTTGACTACAGAGGAGAAAAACAGGTTAGAAATTCCCGAGTTATTAGATATATCAAATAATCTGATTCCAACTCAGATATAACTCAGCTTGTATTAAAAAAATTTCGCTCCACATACATGGGTTCTGATCTTTACCATAAGACATTTCCTCCACCCATATTCTCTCACACTCCCCATGTACCAAGCAGCAAAACCGAGGTCAGGACAGAAGAAGAGGGCATACCAATTTCCTCTCGCACACAGCTTGATATCTAGAGGGAAACTCGGCAGGACATAAAGCTTACATGCATAGAGCCAGCAAATCTGCATTTCCTTATGCGTAGTAACCAAAAGAACCTTATGGCCAACTGCAGCTCATTGGAATTCAGAGATATATCCTCCCATACAGCCAGAAGGGTAGAGCAGCAAGTTTAACACCAAGACTGAGACTGCAGAGCAAAGCTGCCCAGCCAACAGGACTGCCCTGTCCTCACAGGCACTGGTGAGCTGGCAGCATGAGGAAGCTTTGTGCGAGAAAGGGGAGGTTGGTTCTCTAGGGCACATTATGATTTCAAAACAATAAAATGGCAAAGGCTTTGCAAATATATGAGGAAGGGCAATAGTACATACAAGTATAATTTTAATTAGAAGTAAGGAATTTGGGGAGGTCTAATAGTAATTTGGGAGAAACACAAGACACAAAAGGACATAGAGAAGAATTTAGGGTAGAAAGCACTGACATACACAGTATTAACTTTTTCAGGCATTTCCCTTCAGGTCAGCCAGGTTCTGATGCCACAAAGAGCATATGGCCTTGGGCAATAAATATCTGTTTTTTCCCAGCCTCATGCTTTTTGCATTTCCCAAATTCTCACTAGGCAGTGCAATTGCACATGTACTTCCTAGTCTAGGAAGGATCAGGAAATAAATATAATTACTCTTATGAAGACTCCTCTTCATAAAACATCTTCTGGCTGTTGGGGTGGATAATATGGCCCTAATTACTTAAATAAGTCACCATTGTATAATTTAAAATTGAGACCTAGATACAATTGATTGTTTTGACTGTTTACTCTGGAAGTAAATGCACCTAAGAGTAGCACACACTTTCCAGTTTGCCTACGGCAGTAAAATTCCCTCAAGCCAGCCCTGTCAGGAGTGGTGCTGACATGCATTAATGGTGCAGTTACGAGTAGATAATATAATGCAATTAACAGATCTCATCACTAGTCCTTAAGTGAGTGCACCACATTGCAAAATTTTGATATGCATCTCGTAATTGGTGCAACATCCATTCAGCCCACAGTACCAGATATTCTGATTTAATTTTACATAGTCTGATCTGGTTTATACTGCCCCATGATTTTCTAACAATTGCAAACCAAGACCTGACTGACCTCTTGCCCTAAGACATGTAACACCCACAGTGAAAACCGTACCTACTGGTCTCACGTAACTAAGCCTTATGGCCAAAATCTCTGGAGGGGAAGGATAACTGTACTCCCTCTGTTGGTGGAAAAGGAAAAACGATGCTTAAAACACCCTAATTCACAAAGACTACCTTTCTGTAAATGTTTTTTGCTGCAAAACTTTCAATAAAGTGGATTTAGGGAGACAAAAGGGAGCTGTAAAAAGAAAATGGAATTATTATAATATATTTAATAAAGCTATTATTTATTACTACCAAATTTTGGAAATTGTTTTTGCCTTTCTTTCTGTGAAGGTCTTGCTTTGAGGCCTAATACATTATGAAGGGCTCTGCTATGTCACAGGGAAGCTAAGGAGAAAAAAGGAAAGAAACTCCAGCCTTATTAAAGTGGCATCATCAAAATTTGTCTAGATAGTGATGTTACCTATGTAAGATCAGGCAAACTATTCATTTTGGGCAGGACAGATCTGCAATCTGTCCATGCTGGGACCAAGGGATCTGGTTAGATAAGACAGAAAATTGCTGAGGATGACCAGATTGCTGTCATCCTCCATACCTTGTGAGCTACATTACAGGCCTGAAAAACCAGGCTTTTGGTGTTTCTGAGGGAAGTACTGTTTCTGGGGTGGCAGCTGATGCTGTGAGAGAGCAGCATGCTAGGCCCCTGTGCTGCCCAACTAACTGGTAGCAATAGGAGCAGAAAATTGACCTCCAGCTTCATCTCTCACCTCCCCTTACCTGCAGCATATCTTTCTTTCCATTGTTATCTCCTGGTGTGAATCTTAGCCGCATTACAGCCACATTATAATCATGGATTCTGCATGTTTCATCTGCACCAGGGCTGCAGTAGATGTATAGTTGGAACTTGGCCTGCACTTAGGTGATGGGTTGTAGAGGGTATGGCAAAGATATGTGTTCATGACAAGTTGTTGCTGATGGCATCTCCCTTGCTAACGACCCATAACTTCAGGTCCTGTCCTTCACAGAGCTTTCACTAAGAAATCTTGTTTGGGGCTTGAATTCCTCCTGGACATGGGCTTTACTCATCAGAATTATAGAAAGAAGCCAAGCCAGGAGGCCAGGGTCCTGTTCACATTGCCTCCTGCATGCACTGATATATGACACAATATTCCTTTCTATTTTAGTTTATTTGCTTAATTAGAAGTGAAGAAAAACTTGCCTCTGTTGTAACAGCATGTTCTTCTCCTTAGTAGGTACAGCTTTTACTATTTATGACAGCTGCAATCTTTACCTGCTCTCCTGTCATTTCACTATGTTCTCAGCTGGGATGGTTACTTGATACCTCATTCCATTGCTTCTGCATCATCTGAATTCTCAGGGTGAAGGTTTTCAAAACAAATTAATTTGCATGATTCCCCTTTATGTCAACTGCATATCATCCCCATCTCTGCAAACAAACAAAAAGGAAAATGTATTATTCCTCTAGCCAGTTGAACTAAATAACCACCATCTTTCCAAAGAAGTAGCTCCCCTTACCTTTTATTTTAAATGCTTAAAATACATTATTAAATCATTTAAATGCATTATCTATACAAGTTAAACAGATGGGCTAAACATATTTTAAAATCACTGATTAAGTTTATGATCTACTGCATTTGAGAAATAACCATCTAAAGTAAGGGTTGATTCTGTCAACAAGTGAATTAAACCAAATCATAGACACCTTTTCTATCTGCACATCCATAACAACCGTGAATGGCATTGCCAAATGGATAGAGAGGACCAGACTCAGGACCACAAATAGCCTTTGTGCTGAATGATAAAACACAATATATCCCTCTCTGACTCTGATGGGTGAAAAAATACGTGCAGGGTGATAAGGGCCAGGAATAAATAACAGTAGAGTGCACTGTTGAAAAAGAATAGTCAGCTGCCTTGATGTTTAAAAAAGAAAGAAGAAAAAAAAAAACCTTAATACAACAATTATCATTAAGAATGATTTTTCCACCACCTAACTGACAAGTAAATTATCACGTCTGTACCAGCATGTTGAGTTACTGCTTCACCTTCACCAGTAAACAAAGAGTGGGGAAAATTGCTTCCAGTGACAATTTTTTTTCCAAGGAGCCAATCTGTTTGTGCTTTCTTCTCTTTTTCTTTCTCTACATGTTTTGTTGTTGAAAAAAAATCAGATATAATTAAAGTGGTAGCATAAAGCCAGGAGAGCTTTTGATAGAAATCAGGGAAATTGTGTCTCATTTACTGTTATCCCTTCAGTTATCTCCCTCCATCAGTGCTTTACTCCTATAGGCTTCCCTAAAAATATTAAAAGGTTAATTAATATTTAATAAAATAAAAGCCTTTATCTACTTTATTGAATGTTGAAGAGGTATTAATGAGCAAATGGATACTGTGTCAGGTCACAAATATATGGACCCTATGGATCCATCTAAATTCAGCTCTATTTCCCTTTGTTACTTCCTGGCATTTCAAAAGAAAGAAACGTTAAATCTTTTTTCCTCTTTACTACTCTTTTATGAAACAGATATCTGGAGAAATTAATTTTTAAAAAGGAAGGACAGTATTCTTACTGCAGCTTTATCAGAAGACTACAATAATTAGGTATCACAAATAAACATACTAACATAGAGGAGGCTCATAGTAAAATTTTAAAAAGCTCCTAAGATGCTGAAAACATCAGCCTGGTGAATCACATCCCAACAGGGCCTGTTTTTCATCAGTGGGATCCTGATGTAACCAGCTTGTATATAAACATTCATGGGACAAATGCCTAAAGGTAGATGAGATGGATCCCAGCACAAGTATCCATAATTCTGCTTCCTTCTACATCCAGAGGTGTCTCAGCCTTCATGGAGAAAAACAACTCCTGTGTGCTTTCAGACAAGGAGGATCCAGAAACAACTAACTTGTGGCTCTTCCCTAAGAGGCTCCATCCAGCAGGTTTTGTTGAAGCCCTCCCAGCAACATCTCAACCCACAGCCCCTGCTAGACTATTACAGTGTAACAGGAGTGTACATTACAGTGTAATACAGGAGTCCAACACCACCAAGTGTTCCAACACCACCAAGTGATCCAACACTGCTTCCCCAGCCTTGGCAGGTCCCTCGGGTGCCCTCAACCAAACCCTGTGGGAGCCAGCTGTCTGTTTGCTGCTTGAGTACTGCAGACCTCAGCCCAGGACACCAGGCTGAAATGCCAGCAGCCTAAAAGCTCATGAAGGAGCCAAGGAGCTGACACACCTCTCCAGCAGAAGCTCCTGGTGGCAAACCACTGGTTGTGCAAACCTCTGGGGTGGCTTCAGGGAGATTCACAGACCTGAGTCAGGCTGCTCAGTGGTGAGGATGCACACCCATATTGCAAGAGTTCTGGGCCTGTTTCTCTTTATTTAAATTATTTTTTCTCATTTGGTAATCTATTTCAAGGTGAAGATAGTCTCACCCTATCCTATAAAAGCTATTTCATTGTACAAAACCCAGAATTCAAGGTGAGCGGTCAGGAAGAGAGGCTGCACATTACTCTCTAGATCTTCTCCGTGGGAAAGAGAGGAGTGCCAGCCCCTTGCTGTTGAAGCTATATATTCCTTTTATGTGAAAAAGCCATTAGACTGAAATCCAAAATTCATGATAGGAATATGTCTCTCTCTTTCTTCTTAGCTGACTATAAAAGCAGAGTATATGGCAAAGGAGTTAACAGTAAATGCAGATGCTGATTGTAATGCATGAGAAAGGAAGAAGTTTTTTGCTATTAAAAGGAAAGGTTTATTATCAGTTTATATTGAATAAGATATTGCCTTCTTATTTATACAACTATAACCCCACCTGCCTTGGATTAGATTTGATGCACTGACAGACTGTCCTCCCAGTTCTACAGATGCCAGGGAGCAATTTCTGTCAGCACATTCCTGTGACCTTCTGTACTGGCACAGGAGGTTTTTCCCTCCTTTCTCCCTGCATTTTGCAGCATCTTTCCTCCAGGTAACCCTAAGAAAAGCACAGAGTGTCATCTGAAGCCAGAGCTGAAAAGCATCCTCTTAAAAATACAGTGAAGCACACAGGCTGCTGCAGATGCAGGACACTGTCAGCGCTGAATGCTGGCTTTAGCTTCATTTTCAAAGAGCAGTCATGCAGTAAAACTCAAGCTAAAAATTTTTGATCTTTTATAACATCTCACATTATTTAGGTTTCCATATGAAAGTTTAAGCAACCCACAATTTTGCTTAGTGAATACAGCAAGCTTTGGGGATCATTTTCAAAAACACCTCATTTGCATCAATTCAGCTGATCTCTTCCTTGTTGGTGAAGATGAAAGTGTGCTTCTATCTTATGTTTCCCTCTACTCAGACAATAAGGCACTCTTTCCTTTCAAAAATGCAAAAGAACTAGATCAGCAAACTTGTTCTCCCCTTTTCCAGTGTTTCTTTGACTGCATAATTGAAATGCAGGAAAAAATGCATTAAAGCAAGAGGCACAGATGTTTACATCACAGGTACCTCAAATAACTTAAAAGTATCCTAACTGTGTATAGCCTGTGAATATATTTCATGCCTCAGTCACTGAGAATTAGCATTGAAAGTCATCACAGTGAACACAGGGAACTGGATGAATTTCAATCTACTGCAGAAACCAGCCACTTATGTTGTTTGATGTCATCTGCAGTCACATCACTGCAGACATCTTTTGCAAGACTAGTAAAAGAAACGTTGTCATTTTTGACATGGCTGCCTGTCCCTCTTCACTGCTCGAGTGACAGCATTCATAGTGCTCTTCCCATTGCTCCGTGTACATAACAAACCCAGGTGCAGAGATGAGTCTCCCAGGCTTTCCTTTGAAGAATGTCAGATCAGCTCTGCTTCTTTTAAAACCGCTCCCTTGGACCAGCTGACATTTCTGCAAGCCACACAACACTGAGGAGTCAAGATTTCAGGCAGCTGATACCACTTTAGGGACACACAAGCTGTAATCTAAATGCAAGCTACAAAGCAAAAATTAACAATACATGCAACTGAATGTCACTGGGATAGGAAAACACACTGCACCATTAAGAGAATTAAGGAAAAAACAGGTATCAAATGGGTGAAATCATTTACATTGAGCGCTGCACTTATTGGCCTCTTCACATGTCACAGAGCATCAATATTGTGTTAATGAACTGCCTTGTGAAAAGCTCTACCAAAGAGCAAAACGGGATTTGTGATAATGTAAAGGAGAGAGATCAGTCTACCTAATTTTAAGCACTTGTTTCAGGCTCCCAAACAGGAGCCTTGTCACCTTGGGCTCTTTCTGTGGTGAGTGAAGTGTCGGAGAAACATCTTCAGGGAATGCTTCTGGCCTCTTGAGCTGTGAATTGGCTTCTAGTGGTGCATCTCACTCTTCATTTCTCAAGAACAAAATGAAAAGCCTTAATTTAGGAATCTCTGACCTTCTCCTTCAAGTCCTCCTCATCCTCCCCTCAAAGGCCTAAAGCTCCATTATCCTTCAAAAACCTGAGAGCAGCACTTGAATGCTGGGATGAAGTTTCCTGCCTAGGAACAAAATTGAGGTAACTGCTGTGGTGAGGGAGATGCTCAGGGAGCTACAGTTTTGTTCAGAAAAGAACAAAGAACTTGCCCCAATTATCCAAAGTTGTATGTCTGCTAAATTGGGCTAGAAATGAGTTTGGAAATCTCAGCTCATGTGATAGATTGGTAGTAATGCTTCTTGCAGTGAAAAATAGAAATATTTAAGGCTTTCCCTGGAACTACATTTCTCACACTAGCCTTGTAGAGAAGCAAGAGCTGAAGAAAACCCATATGTGTCAGTATATTTCAGACTCTCATGGGCATCTGGGTAGAAAAAACTTTTGAAGAGATCAGCTCAAAAAGCACTTTTTGTCTGTGCATTCATGGCTATCTTTCCAGAAACCAGCCTCTCAATGAAATTTAAAGTAGTTTTTTTTGTCTTCAGGGTTACTGTTGGTTTACAATTTAGAGGTTCTGACTAAATTAACGAAATCATTGCATCGAGAAATGTCCTCGTGTATACACAGCCATGTACAACCAAAATCAAGTTATTTATCTCCCACACCAATGCTGTACAGATTAAACGTTGCATGTAAAAACTTGCAAAAGTACATTTACATTAAAAAATATAGACATATTCAACACTTGAGCAAACAAACAGAAATGGAGAAATGAGTGGAGGAAATAAAGGTAAAAAATGAAATTTAATTCAGCCTTTTATTTCATCCTAAATGGAAATCACTGCAGCAATACTGCACAACAGAATTGGTAGATCTTTTTAAAAAAGTCAAATAAGCTTGAGGATACACTGTTCTTGATCGTGACTAATGGTGAGAGGTTAGACTGGCTTTAGCTGAGGCTTTACTTGGCTGGCTTTAGTTGAGGCTGCCTTATGCTTTGCAAAAAATATTTTCCCATGGGCTATATAAAAGTATATTAGATATAAATGCTATAAATATAAAAATATAAACAATATAAATAATATAAATATAAATTATATTTCTATTGTGTTATAATATAATAATATAATATATTATAATATAGTTTATAAATTATATTTATATTTATATTTATATTTATATTTATATTTAAATTTAAATTTAAATTTATATTATTTTTAAATTTTAAATAATAAAATATAAATACTGGGCAATATAAAAGATCAATAGGATGGAGAAACGAATATGGTGTTATTGTTGTCTCTTAATTTGATGGATTTGTGATTCAGAAAACCTGACACAGGAGGAGGATTCCCATCTCACTTGAAGATCATCTGCATATCCTGTTGAGAATTTAAAGCAGAGAAGAAATTGAAGCAGAACAAGGGGTACGGGATTTCATCAGTCTGTTGTTATTCACAGCTACATCAGCTGCTACAATTTAAAAAAGCAACTCATTTTTTAAACTCAGATAAAGTTTCTGCTTGCTTTCAGTGACTGGAGATCCTTAGAAAGTTACTTTTAAACTCTGTAAAGTCACAATATTCATACCTGGGGAAAAGGTGGGTTTGGTCTGCTGGAGAATCTGCAAAGTAAGGGTTCAGCAATGGTCCTGAAGGTTTAGTATCAATTGCCTGTGAGCATCCATGTGCCAGTAGAGCACCTGTACTCATGTAATGTGCCAGGGACATGCAAGGATGAGGTGGACATGCACCCAGATACAGCCCAGTGAAAGGCTCCCAGCAGCAGCTCTGCCAGGGCCTGGGGACACACTCAATATATGTATTTATTTTTTTGTGCATATGTATGCAAGCTTCAGTACCTGGGCTGAACTTTCCAGCTCCCATCTGCTGTGCACAGTGTGAAATGTCTCACTGTGCAGGAGCCAGAACAGCCATGCATGCTGCAGAAATCCCACTCGCTATATTTCCAGAGGCACAGCTTGTGCTGACCCTGGGAACGGAGGCAATTTGCATTCACACACAGAATCAGAGGTTTAGCTGCTGCCTTCCTCTCCATTTGACCCATTGTTTTTCTTCAGCTCAGCTGACATACACTCTGCAATATGCTTCTAATGGCAGAGAGTACATTAAAATTCAGGGGATTCTCTACATCCTGTGCATTTTTCATTACATCTATTGATATTATGTATTAGAAGACTAATGATTTGAAGCCTTTAAGATCAGGAAATGATGCCTCTAATGATAAATGTTTGAGCTCAGGAGTCTGCAGCATAACTTCCTTGTCTGTGTATACATTTCCTAAAAGCCTGGCTGAGTAGTGTGTTGGCCAGTGCAGTAACTGCTTGAGCCCACACCTTTGTCTCTTTGTGGTACCCAATGTTCATCACAGAAGGGCACTGACTGCTTAGAAAACAAACCAGGACAGGTATTTGAGTCAAAGTATGTGTCTGGTGATGGGAGCAGCTTCATTCTGTGTGTAAGTGTAAAAAAGAAGTTTTATCTAAATTTCCTCTGCTCTGCTAGATGCTCTGAATTTTGTATCACACAATAGCTTAAATCCACTCTGCCAGTAGACAAAGAGGAGAAGGCTATTAAAAACAGATGATTGATCTAAAGGTGCATTATATTAGTTCATGCTTCATGTGTACAAGACATTGTATGGTTGGGGCCTCCAGATTTTTAACAGAAAAGCTTAAAACTTCAGGGCTGTCTGCCTTTTCACACTTTAAGACAAAATATGTTCAGCTCACTCTGACCTGCCTTATTGTTTTGCTGGTAACTTGATTTCCTGAGTTTCTCCTCATGCTGTGAAAAGGATTTTTTAAGAGGAGTACAAACATGAATCTTCAACATCCAAATACTAAATCCCTTCTTCAAGGGAGTCATAAGAAAACATATTTATGTAAATTTATGTTTCAAATGCCAGTGAAATATTAGGCAGACTAAAAGACCTTTATTTTTAACAGTGTTTCAGCCACACATGTCTTGCTTTCACTGGCAAATGTCTTGCTGTGTAAGGTTTCATTACCAAACTCATTTCTATAATCCATTTACTGGTCTGGATTTTTTTCTCTGTAGGCTTATTTACTGTATACAAACACAATGATGTAAGGCTTGCCTTAGGGAACTGAACTAACATCATTACTTAGCAATTTACACTTTTTATTAAGGATTTTTTTAAAAAACTGCTATTTTAAAAAGAGCAGTTCTGAATCCTTTCATTATTAAAGGGCTCCTCATGTGAATATGTGCTCCCAGATATAAACTAACTATCCTCCAAAATCATAAACACGTCATAAACATGCTTAATTTTATACATTTTGGGTGACTCCATTCAATTCACAGAGTAATAGGGCTCACAAGTTGCAATTCAGCAGAGTACCCAGACATATGCCTAAAGCCACCTTTGTTCAGCAAAATCTTTCTGCAGGGGGATTTTCAGTAATATACTCAAGGATATATTTAATTTTAAGCACATGATTAAGTGGTTTTTTGAGCTGGGGCGACCATTTCTTGAATGAAGCATATCAATAAACCTGTGCAGTATGGTCTGTTACTTCATAGAAAAGACAGTCAAACATGTATTTCCAAATACATACAATGCAAAAATTAAATCAGTAGAGTAAACCCCTGTTTTGCAAGATTTTCAGAATCACTGTTGATTAAAAGCAATATATTAGATGGCAGATGCCCCTTTCTCAGTCAAGATCTCACAGGAATGCACTACACCCACAATGGGAAGACAGATATTTGAGAAACAGATCTCGGATTATATACTAATAATTGAGGTATAATCTGTTTTGGCAACATTTATTCAATTAACTATTTAAAGATGCAGTATGTTCTCCAAGATTCATAGAATCTTAGAATCTCAAAGGCTGGAAAATACCTCCAGGATCACTGAGATCAACCATTAATGCAGCACCACCACATTCCCCACTACACCATCCCAAGCACCACGTCCATTCACCTTTTGAACACTTCCAGGTACAATGATCCCACCACTTTCCTGGGAAGCTTGTTCCTGTTCCTGACAACATTTTCCTTTTTCTAATCTAATTGATACCTGCTCTGGTGCAACTTGAGAACATTTTCTCTTGTCCTGTCCCTTGTTACAACCTCCTTTCAGGTATTTGTAGAGAATGACAGATTCCATGGCCCTAACATTTCTCCTGTTCTAATAAATAAGACATTTGACAACAGGAATCAAGACAACCTTCTGTGGTTACTGAGAATATTTTGTTTTGTCTCTAAATCTTAATCAGTAGTAAAATGTAGTAGCAATTGCATCCTCCCATACCTTCTAGAATCAGAAATTAGACTATTGCATACACAATTGCATAGAGTAGTTATAATCTTGTTTTCAATCCCTTTTCCTTCTGACTACAGTCCAGCAACCCAAGTGTCTGCCTCAGGAAAGGCAGTCCTATTCCTTGTATAGTCACGTGGATAAAAAAGAATTTGGCAGAACAGAAGGTATATATATATATATACAGTGTTGAAGGATGTCCATTCCTCCCGGAAAAAACTACTGATTGACTAAGACAAACTAAAAATGAAAGAAAAATAAACTTGAAGCAATAGTCTTAGAAAAAAAATAGTCTTAGAAGAGCAATAGTATTAGAAAAAAGCCCTCAGCACCAGTCTCAAAATTACATATCTTGCCACCTTAGTATGAAGACTTCATAATTTCAGGTGAGCTGCATATCTTATATTATGACTTTACCACAAGAGATTTACAGGCCACCCCAAACCCATGTTAAGAAGCCACTTTACTACAGTGTTATGCATTCTTTATTAATATTACAGACAGTTCTGAGAGTTTCATCTGGAAAGATGGACAGAGATGAGGGAATTATGAAAAAAAAGAATGACACAAAATTGATTAAATGGTCAAAACACTAATAAGTGGAGAACGTTGAATATAGGCAACTCTATTATTCAAAAGACAAGAAGGTGAAGAACGTAAAAAACAAGCACAGAGACTCTTAATGCCTTACAAACTAGCAACATAATTAAAATAAGATAAAATGGAAGAAAGACATTCTGTAGTTTAGCTAGAAAGAAACATCCCTTACTGCTAAGACCTATTAATATCTTTTCCTGGAGAAAAGTGGCAGAAGCCCTAGCACCAATTTAATACTAACTGGAGAAAAACGGAGAGCACTCTGCAGAGGTGCAGCACTCCCCACGGTGGTGTGCTGGATGATGAAAGAGATTCGCCTGACACGCAGCGCTACAGCTTTAATGAATCTTCATTTTCTGAGCCTTCCCCCTTAAAAATGACAATATGCAAGTTATATAAAACATTACAGGCTCTCTTGACTGCTCTAAACTATACTGATGTTCAGGCAGATGTTTTTCACCTGATCCAGATATTTTTTTTCTATTTTTTTTCTCCTTTTGCAGCCCTGCTTTTCCTTGCAGGGTGGTGAATGGGAGCCAGGAGTACACTTGTGAGAGAGCAGCTGTTTTGAACTGGAGCAGGCACACCTCTGCCAGGGTAATACAAAGAGCAGTTAGAGAGCCACTGACAGTTCAAAGTGTCTTGCTTTCATTATGCTGCACCTGCCATCAACCTCCGTACATCTGTTAAATTCCCTTCAGAGGAATGTTGTTTTTATGAGAAAAAATGAATAGCTCCCTTTTACTAGATGAAAACCTGTAGATGTATGAAGTTAAGACAATTATTAATATTAAACTAACATCTACCATTTAATAGCAGCTTCTCTTGAGACTAAAGAAGTGACATGAAATACTATTGTTGCAGAAAGAGAGACTTGCAGCTTACAATAAAAGCAATTCTCTGCTTGCATGTGCAAAGCCACGTGTGACAAACTGTGGCAGCTTTCATAGGTTTAACGAGTCTCTTTGGAGTTCCTCTCTCTGGTTAGTCACAAGCAAAGCAAGGGAAAAGCCGCATGCAAATACATACCTCATGTGAGTAGCTCCACACCAAACAGCAGGAAGCATAATGAGCAAAGAGATGGGTTTTCCTGTGATCTCTTTTCATTGCTTCATACATGACTGGAAAAAAAACCCGAACAAAACAGGCCAGGAAACAAAAAACAGTCCAAGCTGTTTTGGTTGTACCCGAACTCCAGAGTGCAGGGTGTGATACACAATGGCATGTGTCAAAATCTGCTTTTTATCCCTGGTCACTACTAAGAACAAGTGTTCCCAATTTGTTCTCACTATACAGGAAGCAAAATAAGAATTTAGTGTTCCCCTAAAACTTCCTGCTGCATGTTTGCTTCTCTAAACTCATCCCCTGACAACACTGCATTGACAATAAGAGGATGTGACCGTGTTCCCTTTCCCATCAGGGCTGTAAAGAAACTGATTTAGCTGTTCTATGGTGTTTGTCTTTGCAGCATTGACTAGAAATGTCGTGTCTGAAGTTCACTGGGATATAAGCTGGCTGTTTTCCTTCTGAAGATATACCCAATAGTAGGGAGGCATGGCATTGTGTTGGAATATAATGAGGGCTTTTAATACCCACAAAAAATATTAGTCACAGAATGATAAAATCTTGGAATGGTTTAGATTGGAAGGGACCTTACAGATAATCTTATTCTACCTCCTGCCATGGTCAGGGAACCTTCCACTAGACCAAGTTGCTCAAAGTCCCATCCATCCTGGTCTTCAGCTTCTCCAGGGATAAGGCATCCATAACTTCCCTGGGCAAACTGTTCAGTGCCTTACCACACAGTAAAGGATTGCCTCCTGACATCTAATCTCAGTCTCTTTTCATTCAGTTTAAAAACAGCCCACCTTGTTGTATTACTATCTTCTGGAGTAAAACATCTCTCTCCTTTTTTTTAAGCCCCCTTAGGTACTGGAAGGTCACAATGAGGTCTCCCCAGAGCCTTCTCTTCTCCAGGATCAACAACTCTAACTCTCAGCCTGTCTTCATAGGAAAGGTGAAAACAACCCTCTGATCCTCTTCAGTACACTAAGCCCTCACAGCCCTCACAGTACACTAAGATCACACTTGAGCTTCTGTGAGTTTCTTAAAACCCTGACAGCTAAAGCATGTCAGAGTAATGGTTAGAAAAGCTTTCTTCATGGTTTTTGGTTTCTATATTACCAAGGTAGAGATTCTGAGCTCATGTTTGGAAAATACAATTACTCTCTCATGCTTTCTTTATGCAGTTAGGCACTGTGTGGGTAGTGATGTAAACTGTACTGAACTTAAGGTCCCAGGAGTATCAGTCAGCTTTACAGATCACTTATCGATGAAAACGATTATAGTTTCTTCCATGATCAACCCAAAGTGATGATCAAAAACACAAAGTTAAATCTAAAAGTTCTTGTGTGAAGGAATGATCTCCCTCAAGAAGTGGCAGTTATCACATTTTGGGTGCTACCTATCTAAATAACTGTTGTTATTTGTCAGCAGCAGCTATCTTTCTTTCAAGAGTTGTTTCTCAAAATGAAGTTGCCTCAAATTGCCTATTTACTACATTCTTGTTCAGTTTCACTTTCCAGTCTTTGTCCTTTATTTGTGCTATTTTCAGCCTTATTATCTTCTCTTTCATTTCAAAGACCATTGAATAATTGCTTTCTCCATTGCTGTCCTGTTTTCCAAGCCACAGGAAAGAGATATCATTCTTGTTCTCAACTGTGTCAATAAAGTGTGCTGGACTGTACTTACTAAAACAGGTTCAATAAAATAATTACAAATAGCACCAGAATACTGAGTTCCCATTGAAAGCTTTTCTCCTGTGTGGTAAAGTGAAGTCCCAACTTGTCTGCGAGACCAATAACTACATATTCATAGCAGCCTGCTCACAGGAAATCTATAAAGGATCTATCACCTCAAATTAAGACAGGTTTAGCAGCATAGACTCCTGCATCCATAAAACTCTGAACAGTTTGGGACCTGCTCAGTTCTTCATATTCTCTGTGGAGATGATTAAAATCCACTGTTAAAACTAGAACATGAGCAACTCCAGGCCCAGCAGTAGGAATCTCCCAGATTTTTTTGTTGTTGGTTTATTTTTTTTTTCTATTTTTCTTTCTTTTTTTGTTAACAAGAAATAATTTTCAGGTAATTAGTACATTCCTTAAAGATGTTGTAAGTAAAGGCCACTGAGAACTGTAAAGATAATGTTGCCTTCATAAGGAAATAACCTTTTGATAACAGTCCAGCAAGTGTGTCTTTCTATGCACTGGTCATCCTACCACCTCAAAGCATGTTAACTATTGACAAATCTCCACTGAAAAGGACAGAAGAAGAAGGTTTTCAATTATTGTTAAGCTCCCTCATGACTAATAAAATTAATTTTCCATCAGTTAGAAAAGACTGACTGAATTATTTTTCTTGCCCATCATCCACAAAAAAGAACCAGCAAAATGTCAACTGGAATGAGAAATAGTGTGGGGAAGAGCTACTCATTAAACCCCAGACACAGGAGAATTTTGACTACAGCTTAAAGAGACACCAGAACTTATAGAAAACCACCTGGAAACCACAGAATTGTTTGCTTAACTTTGTGCTTGATTCTGCAGGTGCTTTATTTGCAGGTTATTCATTAATCATCAGCTACTTTTCAACTTTTCAATATCCAATGTGCATAATCAGTAAGTTCTTTCCCCAGCTACCTCCTTTCTCTTTTTTTTTTTTTTCTGGGGGGATACCTGTAGTGTACCACATTCCTCAAATCTTATTATGAGGCACCTCTACTTATTCAGTATAAGACATTGCTCACAGACATAAGTAAATCCAACTTCAGTGGACTCCTGGATTACCCCTGAGCAATAATTGTCACTAACTGCTTCAAGACTCGCAGTGGTGTGGGGGTAACGAGCTTTTAAAACAACTGCAGGAATTCACTTACAGTGGCACTGCTATCAGTGCCCAGAAATCTTAATCATTCTGAATGTAAGCTCAAAGAGAACAGCCAGGCTCAAGAGCTGACCGAATACCAGCATCTTTTCATAATATGTTATTGACTATTGAACAAGAAATGCTACCACATTTAGTGGTACCTCTTACTGACCTGCTTTCCTTGGTAGTAAAGGGTAACTATAGCTGTCTTTTCACTCCAGGGTGAAAAATTCACATTGTTATGAGATTCTGTAAAAGTATGCAAGTGGCTATGGTGAAAAAAGGGTGCTAGCTGTCTGATTAGGTGTGTCATCATAGCACAGGAACTTTTAAATAAACCTTGCTGCAAGGTTATCTATTAGAATCTAGCATTACTAAGATCATTGAAAATAAAGCATTCATTTATTCACCACTGCAATCAAATAAACACCTACTCATCAAATCAAATTCTTAAATGATAAATTCTTCTGTGGGTAAACTGAAGAGAAAATAAAGATAACTGGTTTATTTCATGTTTAGCTCCTAATTTCTAGCACTCTAATTAAGACTTATTCTGGTCTTGCCTACTTGGACAAAGAGCTGTAACTTTTTTAAACAGAGATCAAAGCTTGATGGTAGAATTACTGAATAAACTGCAGTTGTCACATTTAGAAAGGTGAGCCAAAGGACATGTGTCTGAGGTGGCAAGCTTTCTGCTCTGAGTATCATGGCTGCAGGGAAAAAATATAGAATGGGTTACAGTAGCAGCCTTGCTTCATTTTAAAAGTGGGACCAGTGAAATTTCGGGTTAGTGGCAGTTCACTCCTATCTTCATGAGGCAATACTTTGGCTAGACTGCAGTGCACTTTGTGATCTAACAATGAATACTTAAACAGAAAATATGCCCCTGTAATAAGCCCCCACAGTAAAAAAATTAATATTAATGCAGTGAAAAAATTGTTCTTCCTTTTGAACCCAGTGAGGACTGCAAAGACAGTGATTATTAAAGAATTCAGCTGGTTTCAAAATTGACCTTAACCTGGAAAAAGCTAAGCAGAAGCAGAGGGAAAACTGATTAAAAATTCAATGCAGCATTTCATGGCCTTGGTAACCTGGGACTGGGGTACTCAAGAGCTACTGACAGCTTGCATTTCAAAGCTGATTTGTAAAGTTGCCAACAGGTCAGTAATCAGTAACTTTACAGAGCATGCAGCTGACACAGAAAGCCAAAAAGGAACAACAAAAGACATAATTGGATCTTAGGACCCAAAAGATGCCATGAATGCATTCATTTTTGGCACTATGTATGCTGCATGTTGCTACAAGATATGGTTATAATGAAGGTGATTTGCATATTTTTCATGAAGTTTGGATGCACTGAATTATAAAAATAACCCCCTAACATGAAACTATTTCACTGGTGCTTGGAAATCTTATTTGAAACATTGACAGAACCACAGAAGTATTTAGTGATGAAAACAAAAAGGAAAAAAAAGTCTGTTAGGTCATCACAGGCATCTGCCTTCAAATGCTGAATTATTTTCTTCAGCTTTTTTAAAAGTTATTCATATTTACCAAAAGAAAGAAGCAATAAAGAAAACCACTAAAGTAACTACAGACTACTTAAAATTTCACAGCACTTAAGTCTCTAGACTCCAATGGGAAAGTTCTTACCCAGCTGCTTCTGGTTTTGGAGAGTTACAGGATCTTAAAAGGCCTATGCATATTGTTTAAGGGCCTACTGGTTAAAATTCCTTTCCTTTAATGCCCCCTTGTCCTTCTTCTCCCTGCTTGTTATCAACCCTGAGGATTGGCTATCACATTCCGTATGCGGAGTTTTCCATGTCAGTGACCACATGCAAAGCTGCGTGCCCTGTCACAAGGCTCTGGGTCTGTCCCCTCGTAGTGTTCTTCTTCAGCCTGGGAACTGCAACTTCTATCATCTTCCTGCTTCGCTTGGTACCATCCCAGATTTGCAGACACAAAGCTCCTGGAAACACTGGCAAAGAGCCACAGCTGTCAGACACAGGCTGGACATGCACAGGCGTCAGGCAAGGGCTGTTGGAGTGGGCAGAGCCAGCTCTGGTAAATGCTGCTCTGCTCCCAGTCCTCAATCACAGCAGCCAGTGTACAATTAGCAGCTGGGTTCACACAAGGCTTGAGGCTTCTCACCTCCTTCTCCCTCACAGGGCAGGTGGCTGGGGCCCTCTGTTTCCTGCTGATGTGTAGGGACTGAACCTACAAGTGAGACACCATGTGAGTCTGCCCTGTGGTCTGTCTTTGTG